GATATATAGTTTTACTCGTCAATATAATAGTAGTCTAAATAATAGTATTTAGAATTAAATAAGTTGTATTTTCTCGTCCGATAATAGTAATAGTTGCATTTTTAAACCGAAATATGTATATTATCACGATTAGCAATGGAAAAAACTTGTTTTAGCTGCTAGCCATCAACCGCGTAGTACCAGTTTGTATTAATTCGTGACGTCATTATGTGTATTCAAACTTTTATTTAACATTGAATACACATATTTTTTACTATAGTATTTTTCAGGGGCGGAGTGGCCCGTCGGGCAATCGGAACAATTCCCGGTGGCCTGGCTTGCTTATATAATAAGTGGCCTGTTGTGTTGAAAATAATTAATATTTTGTTATTTTTAGTTGATTCTAAAAATAATGAAAACAAATACATTGCGTGAACCATGAATTAAAATATTACGACAAATATGCAGTAACTAGATTTCTTACATAATTACGTCGTCTTTTAATATGATAATGATAAGCCAGTATACCACACAATTTACATAAATTGTTATTATGATTCTGTAATTAGGTAATAATTATACTTCACTATCATTAATAATTATAACATTTTTTATTTGAAAATTCAGTAAAGCATATAGTTCTTACTTTTTATCATAAAAAATATAATCAATTTAAGAAATTTGCTGTCCTCTTAAAAATCTGAAACAACGTCATTGTTGATGTACTGATATTTTTGTGTAATGTATTCAATTATTATTATGAGTTATTTCAAACATTTTTTTTTTAGAACTTAAACGTATTCGTCAAATAATTTCTATTTCCTTATCCTATTTTAGTCAAAAATGGAAAAGTAAACTATAGTGAAAAGCAGGGAATTTTCCCTTCTATAATTGATTTTTAATTTTTAAAATATCATTATTTTTATTTTTTGTTAATAGTAGTAAGCGATTAATACTGAAAGCAGTTTTTAAAGGGTTAAAACTTGAGACTAGATTAATATAGAAATTTCGTATGACATTGAAACAGCAAAAAGGGTTAGTGTTCTTTCTACACGGTGTTAGAATTTATTTTAATCTAAAAAAATTGCTTTCAAATATTTTGTATTGTTCGTTGAAACATAATTAACATTTTAGATCGTGAATAATAAAAATGTTATCGTTGCTGATACATAAGTAATATTGGCTATAAATTAGTATTTCTTTAGTATTACTATACGTCTATATTCGTATATACATGTTACACATGAACAATCCATACAATGAAAATACATAATCTCGGCGAGATTTAAATTAAACTCCGTGGGTACACAAATTATTTCAATAGCTGAATTTCGCAATATTTTTTCCAATATCCTAAAACTATACGAAACACTATATTACGTTATGAACAAAATAACTGACGGATAGAGAAAACCCCGACAAAAATCCATCAGTAAAATTATTACCAAATGATATATTGGTATATGAGTAGTTAAAAATGTGCAAATAATAACGGTTAAAAAATATTTCTTGAATTGTACATGGAGAATTATGATTTCAGTATAAACTAAAATTTTCGGATGGATAAAGTAAAAAAAGATCTGTAAAATCCAACAAAAGTCAATGAACGATAACGAAGAATCTACGAGTCATATACGTCTATGGACTATGAGATCAAAAAAATTGACAAAGAAACTTAAACAACTATTTCCCGCGGCAGAATTCTTGTGATAATAGTTTTTAACGTCTAAACTAATAACCAACCGGTTTTAAAAATGTTAATTGTTAATTTTTTTATGTGCTAATGATTTGGCAGTAACGAGGCAGAAGGAGTTAAATAAACACTCAAAGACACTCCGGAGAAGTCTGATATATAATATACTAATACAGAATTCTATAAAGCCAAACCCAAAGAAAATATAAGTGAACGCATTCCACCTCATTAATAGACAAACAAGAAAAAAATCAAAAGTATAATTGTCCGGGCATTAAACTATTCGAACTCATAGAGGTTATCTCAAAGTTACGATCGATGGAACTTTACCTTTATAAAATCTTATTGTAATAGGTAACACAAGTCAGTGGCGTAGCCAGGAACTTTTTATGGGGGGGAGGTTCAACAAATTTATATATATTTAATCTTATCACTATCATTTTGACTAATATTTGTATTGATCTTGGTATTTTTAAGTCTGATTGACATTAGTTTTTTTTGACTTGGGTAAAAAAAATAATTAATTTTTCTAGTCTGCTTATTTGTTAGAGAACTTGCCTATAATAATAATAACAATTTAGGAACTAGGAACCAATATAGGAACATAAATATTAGATATTAGAATAGTTTTTGTCCAATCACTTAGGTACACTAAAAAATAAATTTTCAAAATATCTTACCATAATGGAATGTTTAGACGTCTTAAAATGATGTCAAATTAAAATAAAATAAATATAATGGAATACAGATGTCTAATATAATATAATTATAATATAATTATATTTGACATTTGTATTCCTTTATATTTATTTTATTTTAATTTGACATCATTCTGAGACGTCTAAACATTCCATTATGGTAAGATATTTTGAAAATTTATTTTTTAAACATTTAAACGAATAAACGAGTAGTAAGTAAGACAGTGAGACACCAACGGGTAACGACTAACTATTAACTAATAACTATTAGTTTTAAACAATAAAGTGCTTATGTTAAATGATCGGCGAGCCGCGAATGCAATAAGTATACCCAAAATAAACTTTGAATACAGATAATGACATCGTTTTTATGTCAGTTATCGGGGCCAGACGACCGATTAAGAATCAATCGTTGTAGAAAACCTAAATAATATGTTCCCAAGCAAAAATTATGAAAGTAGTAATAGAGTATCTAAATATGATCATATTATGACGTATGTGTGTGTGTGCAGCGTGTGTATAATACGTTTATAGTGTTTATACAAACTATTAATATGATTTCCAAGTCAAAATTCTATAATAAAAAATGAAAAAACCGTGTTTCATGTAAAAGTTAATTTATCATCTCAGGTTTATAGGTGGGGGGGGGGTTCTGACCCCCCCAAAACCTATGGATACAAAACTGATACAAGTCACAATACAATGAAAGTTGTAACATAAAATAATATTCTATAGTAACTAGCACACTCGAGGTAGTTAACCCCCAAGCGAATAACAAAACTCGTTTTGTGCTATTCAGCCAGATAATATACATGCCCACTCCCTAGTATTGAATTTATATTTGTTACCTACTGGTAATATGCGAATATGGTAGATGCTGCAATAAATTGGAGTAATGAGTTGTGTCACCATATAACTAGATGACTAAAACCCATAAGTGTTGGTCTGGCTCATCCTCCGACAAAAAATTAACAATGGTCCCCTAAACAACATAATATTAGAGGAGATTCAATAAATACGAGTACCTACTAAACATGTTTTTCTTGTTACGCTCAAACTCTACTAAAATTTTTAATTTATACTTGTTTTTATATTTTTCCAAAGCCAATATTATCGAATTATCATTGTGTTCGTGTATGTAACTGTTAACAATACTTATCTCAATTTTTTAAGTATATTTGTTCGATTCTGATCAAGAGAACAAAAATGTAAAAAACAAGCGGTTATAACTAGTTCTATTAAATTACGTCAACAATATTACAATATTATGATATAAATAACCTAATTTTAATTTAATTCAGGAAAATAATTATTATGATTTTTCATGTTAGCGTGGTTGCTTTGGGCTCAGGGACAGATCTAAGAAAGGTTCAGGTCAACTGATCCACAGTTAATATTTGTTGACAAAATTAGCCTCATGAAGAATTCTTATATTTTTTAAGTGTGCCGACTATAAGTTAAAACTACACCGAGAAATTTCCCAGTTTTCACCCCTTCCCCTCAAATTATACCACTGGTTTAATTGAATAGTAAAATAAAATATCTCTATGCGAGACACCAAGTAAGATACCATAAAATAATTGTTTTGTTGTTTGCCCCCATCACCAAAAGTATGGTTACATTAGTCGGATTTTTACATTTGCGGTGGCCCGCTAAATAATAATTGTTTACCAAAGTAACTCACCGAGGAAAAAAGGTTGGGCATCACTGTTATATATACATATACGCTTTTTAGTGGAAATAGATTCACGCATTACTGTATTTTGATTCTCAATGTGATATTACTAAAATTAATAATGATTTAATGTCTAACATGAAAATATATGTATTTATTGCTAAAATCCAAAGAATAGGTAATTCATCAACTAAAAATTGATCACTACAAATTACATTCAATGAAGCATCAGATGTAACTACTATTTCAAATCAAAATCAAAATTACAAATTACAGAAAAAATATAAAAATCTTTGTATAAATTCGGACTTGATAAATTACCAACATAAACAAATGAAGTCTCTTTGTTATGAACTTCAGCAAAATTGAAATAACAGTGAAAGAAATTGGATTAAAAAATATCGCCATGGAATTCCAACATATTTAAAAAAAAAACTCCTGGCAAAGTAATACAAAGAAACTATAAATGTTTGTTTTACTAGAAATATAATTTAGATTTAAATAGTGATTGATATTACTTTTTAAATTTATTTGATGTTTAAAACAAATTATAAATAAATAACACGATTTTCAATTATAATCAACAAATATTATTGAATTGTATAACACTATAAAATATTAAAATATATTTTAAAAAGTTTTTATTCAAAGGATGTACACATATTGTTATAACATACATATATGAATATAAGAACTAATTTGTTTAATTGTAACATATTACAATACAATGTAATATCATTTATATACTTTTTTTATAGTTTATATACATAATATATATTAACACCATAATAGTAAATAATATAAATTATAATAGTTGGTATTGCATTGAATAAAATAATGCAAACTAAAACAGTGGAATATTTTATTACCTTATAAAACTAATTTATTGTGGTATTATAAAAATAAAATTATCACAGTTTTTTTTTTAAAAAAAAAAAAAAATTAATTCTAAGGATTATTGACTATTCAGGTTAACTATTTAATGACAATATAAATATAAAATAGAATTATACACAGTAGTAGAGTTATTAGAATGTGAAACACATAATATTATTAATAAGAAAGAGAACAATAATAATATTTGTATAGTATAGTTGTTCATAATTTATATAAAATTTTATACTATTTCATATAATAATATTGCATATTCGAAAAGCAAATAAGGGAATACTATTGTTTTAGATGTGATTAATATGGAGAAAACTCTTTTTTAATTAATGGTGGAGGTATATTACTTGTTGCAGAGTTTGAACGGCCTTCTGTTAAATAACCACCAGTACTTTGAACACCTAAATATAAAATTATACAAATTTAGACAAGTGTTTAAAGATTAAATAGTATATTCAGCATTGTAATGATAAAGATATAATAAATAACACACCCATCAAATAAGGCATTGAAGGTGCACTTGATATGAATAGATCATGATTTTGATCCTTGTAAGAAGACCATGTTGGAAGCTTATCCAGCTGTGATTGGACCAAACTACCATATGATAAACTTGAAGACATTGTCTTTAATGCTTTAACAATTTGTGCTTTAGCCCTGGCACTACCTTCAACTCCATCTAATCGACCATCCAGTAATCCAACTAAATATGATATTAAATCTACGTCTAACGCCTAAATTAAAGTAAAATTGTTAATATATAATTTATTAATTTTTGTGCAGAATATAACATACCTGTTTTACAAGGTAATCTTTCTTAGCTGCAAACATTCGACTGAGAGTTTCCGATGAAACACAAATTAAACTGGAATTGGCTTGCATTGCTTTTTTAATTGGACCAATGCATTCAGTTTGAGATATACAACCGACACATATCTAATAATAAATATAATACATTTAATTAAGTATAAAATACCATATTCAATGATATATTGTTAGATTTAGAATAATAATAATAATTTTATAGTTGATAGACTAATTAACATTATAATAAGTAATATTTAAAAGTGCACAAATATATGTGAGCCACAATAATTACTTCATTAAGTGACAACTGATGCATTATCATGAGAACAGATTTTGGTACATCAGGATTAGATAATAATGATAATTGAAAACAAAGTCTAGGAATATGACCTAATGCTGGGACTTGATCACACAGATGAGGCTGAGCTTCTAACAACTTAACAATTGACATAGTAACAATTTCCAATTTATCATTCTGAAATTAGTAAAAAAAATATATATATATATTTTACTAACATAAAAAATTAAAATATAGGATAACCTTAATTTAAAAGATTTAACAAGCAAATCACCTTTTCTTTAGTCATAGAACTAATACACGTATCCAAAAGTTCAGATAAAAATTCTTTAGGTCTTCTAACATTCCAACCAGGGTTATTATTGAATAATCTTAAATAGACCCCAGCAACAACAGTTTCATTGGAAGGTGAAGATAAAAGTAAGCTGGTATCTGGTAATTTTATAACACCTTTAGGATTTTGTCGAAGTGCAAAATAATGCCTAAAAATAAAAAAATAAAACAATATAAATAGTAATATTAATATTAATGTTGCTTTAGATATTTAAAATTTATTCTTACTCTCTAGATATTTTGTTGATATTTCCAAAAATATATTTTCTTGACTTTTCATTCCAAACAAGCTCTGGATTTTCTTGGTCATTGTCTAATAATCGAACTGTAGATGAGGGTAGATCTCTCATAGTATCTATAATGGCTAATGGTAAAATTTGTGCCAATGCTAAACGTAATCTAGGACCACTTAATTTTTCTGTCATTAAACGACTCAAAAATATTGCACTTTTATCTCTAACACCAGATTCATTATCACCATTACATAATAAATCAACAGCAAATAAATGACCTCCTTTATTTAATATATCCTTTACAATTGTTGAGGATGTTGATAATGTGATAAGAATATCTAAAATCATCATTCGATCTGATGGTGTTGAATAAAAACAAAGTAATACATAAACAACAACGCCTGAATTAGCAATATCTGTGACACATTCATTATTTTTAGTTACAGTTAAAATTGTGTTCAAAGCACTATGTTGTACTAATCGAATAGTTTCAACACGTAATAAACTGAATAGTAAATCAAAGTGACCAATACAATGTACTTCAAGCCCTACAAAATATAAAAATGCTTGTAAGAATATTTTTAAAAAATGTTATTTTTTAATGCTTACCAGGATTGTTTAAAATTAAATTATTTAATGCGTCCAATACCATTAAAAAACTGTTAACATTTTTCTCATCTAATATATTGCTTAGTGGATTGTTGGTTTTTATGTATTCTAAGAGATCTGATAAAAATCCTTTAGGATTCTGAAAAATATTGTTAGTTTATTCAAATATACACACTAAAATAAACTGAAATCTAATTTTACTTTGATTGTGTAATGAGGTTGTTCATTAAATACTCTAATAAAAATATTTCCAACTATTAATTCATTTCTATGACTAGAAAATGTCAAACCAATTGTTTCTAAGTTAACAGATTCTTTATGATTACACATAGTATCCAGGAAATCACTCAATTCAGCTCTTGTACTATTATCCCAAACCATATAAGGTGTCTCACAATTGCTGCCAAGCGTTTTAAGTAGCTAAAAGTTTATTATATTATTATTATTGTTTATATTTTATTATAAAAGTATTAAATATAAATTAAATAAAATAATAAAAAAATAATAATAATAATAATTACTTGATGTGGGGCTTCTTCAGATAACTGTTCAGCAACATATGGTGTAAGAAGTTTTACAAATAGACATTTTGCAGCAGTATTTTCGGGAGTGGACAAATCCCCTTCATAATAACCACCTAATCTAGCACATGCTTTAACTGATAATTTGGCTAATCTATTGAGCACTTCCTGAAAAATTATTTTAAATTTAATATTTAAATTTAAAAAAATATATTTAATATAGTTTACTTGGTTATTAGCTTCTTCTGATCGTTCAACTCCACATTCTTCTAATGTGTAATCATATGAAAACATAAAGGTTAATAAATGCCAAATAGCACCTTTTTGTAAGAAACTATTTTGGAGATTAGAATCAGAAGCCATTTCAGAAATACAATCCACAGCATCACAACATAATTTTGGTAAGTTCTATAAATAAATTTAAATTATAATTAAATAGGGTTTATTTATTTATTATATCAAATAAATAAAGTACAGAATATTAGTAAATTGTCTAAATAAATAAAAACTTTCAAATTTTATTTTAATTTAAAATTATATATATATATATATATATTAAATAAAATACCTTGAAGTACAATATTCTGGTGATATCATTCACTAGCTGAGGCAATTGAGAAAATGTATCACGACACATTGGAAATTGAGAAGCAACTTTGAAACAGCGAGTACAATATGTACAAACTGATACTGACATTTCTGTTTGTTCTGATGATTTATTTAAGACAGAGACACATCTAGAATAAGCCCCAAGTAAATCCTAAAACAAAAATTTGTAATTATTTAATATATTAGTACATTTTATATGAATTATAATGTTATTAAACATCAATGGTACCATTACATCTTAACATTAATATAATTGACAACAATAAAAATTTATGAATTTGAGAATTTAAAGTACTACAATAAAAATGTATACCGATTAGGTTTAAATTCATCAAGATTTGAATTTAAAATCTGCAGAAATTATAACATATTAATAAAACAATACATTTTTTACTAACAATAAATCCTTGTTCTCGGTTAAGCTCTTCTGCATTCAATGCCGAACAGTTTACTGTGTGATATGTCAGCTCACTAGCAGCTGCAAGTAACATGTTACCTTTAGAAAATAATTGTTCATCACTTGCTTCCAACCTTATGGTCTTCACTAATTGTTTGTAACCAGCATACTTATAAGGTTCAAGATCTATAAAATCATTAAACATTTTAATGACTTTTATAAAATTGGATGAAAATATTATTGATAATACAAACCTTTAGAGTAACGATAAAATAAAATACTTTGAGTCTGAAGTATTAAAAGAATATTATTTGGATTGGGACCATCATGAACCCATAAACTTCTACTACATAAAAAATCATATGCTCTATTTGCTGCGACAAATACTTCCTAGACATAGAAACAAACATTTTAATATAAAAACTGTTTTAAAATTGTAGATAAGAATTAAACATAAAGATAAATATAATATAAAATATACCATGTAACAATAATGGTTAGTAAATTTAAATATCTTCTTTTTTTCTTTCATCTTTCTTTCAACTATTTAGGGTTGGCCATCTTTGTCCTAAACCTCTACTCATCTCGATTTTCTATATCCCCAACACACACACCAATGGCCCTCATATCATTTTCAATTGTATTCAACCGTCTCAATTTAGGTCTACCTCTCCTCTTTTCCCTTCAACGTTCACTTTCATAACAATTCTTACTGCATTTATACCCTCTCATTGTATCACATGCCCAAACATCTCACGTCTATTTTCTCTCAAATTTTTCACTATAGATGCTACACCAATACTACCTCTCACATATTTGTTCCTTATTCTATCAACTCATTTAAAATCAAATATAAAATTAGCTTAAATTGCTTAATATTTTCAATATTTTTTATGAAAACTTGGAAAAATACACATAGTAATGAAACATTAATAATTCATAACATGTTTAATTTCTATTGAAAAAGAGCATTTTTAATTTAAACTTGATAATAATACTAATAATATATTACTATATAGGTACTGGGGTAAAAATCCTTTAAATGTTTTTTTTTCTTTCTAGTATAAAATGTTAAATAATACTTAAAATATAAAAATATTAATTATCATTTAATATATAAAACAAATATTAAATACTCTGCCATAAGATATTTATGAACAAGTAAAACCTATTTTATTTCTTTTCAACTGATTTTTGGAGATAAAGTCTTATTGGACTAATAACAATAGTCAAAAATTAAATTAAATTATTTTATGTAGTTATTAATATTTATATATTATTTCACATATATTTTATATATTTATATTTATATTTATATTTATAAGTATAACATGGAAACAATTAGTAAGTTAAAATATGTCTTAATTTTCTGAAGAACTAAGATATTAAAATTTTGAGAAGGAATCAGTAGTATTAAATAATAAACATAAATACCTATAAAAGATAAGAAGTAACTTACACGTCCTTTAGGATTTTTATCAGGATGATTTGCTTGAGCAAGTTTATAATATGCTTTTCTAGTAGTTGCTTCATCATAATGATGTCCACGCTCTAGGCCCAAAGATACATAAGCATCATCTATAGACATAGCAGGTGGTTTTTTCTCTACTTCATTTTTCCATGCTTCCAATACATCTTTCAAAAGCGTAATCTAAAGAAAAAATATGAATAAATATTTATTATAATTTGATTAAAAATTAAAATGTATATAATCTAACAGGATCATTAATTGGCCAATCTGGAAATCGTTGTACATCACATAAATGTCGCAGATAAAATATATTGCAAAATAATTCTGATTGCAGCTGTGGATAACGCACAACTGGAATAGCACAATATTGGTAATATGCTCTATTATTTCCACGAAGTTTAGGTGTAAAATCAGCTATATGACAGGCGATCTTTTCAATTAACATTCTTCTCATTTCAGCATTCCAAATGGCTTCTGGAGTATCAAATTCCCCTAAAAATATTTGAGCAAATTTCTCAGGACCATGATTTTCCAAATAATATACCATTGCCTCAGGTAGTAAAGGTCCAAGTACACTTCTTTGCATTAATTCTCCACTTTGTACCTAGAAAAAATCATTTAATTATTAACAAGTTAACATTTTTATTAGAGCTTTATTTTATAGCTTACTTCTTCATTTCTAAAAGCTTGACAAGTATGTGTAAGCCTTAAAAATTTAGCAATTGGCAAAATGTTTGAACCGGTATACATGAGCAAAAAGAAAAATACTCCAGTCATATACAACTTAGCAGCATTTGGATTGTCAGATGCTACTTCACACAGTAAATGTGCTACTTTTTCAACAAGAATAGGATCAAATGTTAATAAAAGTTGGACTACATGAGGTAGATGCAGAGAATCAGTTAAAGTTCTCCTTATACGTGCAATTGGCCAAATTATTGCACCATCATTGTCTCTAAAAAAAAAAAAAAAATTATAAATTAAAAACTAAAATAATGACCAATAACAATTATTATAATTAATTAATGTATACATATAAAATATGTATTAATTATTTTGAATATAGAGGTAAAATGTGGGAGTGATTTATCATTTGCCAGCCAGTGAGTTCAGATTAAGTCATTCTTCCGGTGACTTGTACTTGAGTGAGAGAGCATCCAAGTTTTAAGTGATTTACCATTTTACATTTATACACCTAATATATTTGAGTCTTAAAAAATAATAGTCAAAATACTATAACTTATGTTGAAAGCTCTTCAAAATTTATTCAATATAAAATAAAATTATGATAGAAATAAGACTTGACTAAATATTTGATAAATTATTTAAAAAATTACTACCTGCTAGGATAATATTGACACATTTTTATCAGTATGGTCAGTATAAGAGAAGCTAAGTCACTTTCATTCATATAGCCTTGATCCTTGGCTATTACTGTCCATTTGAATTGACTTAATTTAAAAAGAGGTTTCCATCCTTCTAGTCCAGGTGTCCAACATTTGGACATAGGTTTTAAAGTACCCTCTTTGTATAAATCTTTCATCTAATAAAAATACATTTCAATACAAATGATATTTTAATATTATATAATAAGAATAAAATAATTATAATAGATTTTTTTATACCTCTTGAAAAGTTATTGGACCATTGGATTTATCACCATTACCAAGCCCATAATACCACTGTTTTTCATTGTCAAGTAACATATCATGTCCAGCCTCTATTACATTAGTTTGTGTAGGAACGACAGCTCTTGTTGTATGTAAATGTGCTAATGTTAGTAAGTCCACAAGAACAGTTACACCTTTGGATTCAATTATATCTTTAACATTTTGCTTGTTTAATATAAGTTTGCTTAGGAATAAAACCAATCTATCTCTTTCAAGTTTTTCAACAGTCTAAAATAATAATAATAAAACTATTAATAATTGTTAAACAATCAGTATCAATTTAATATTTAATAATTTTCTTTCGATAATTTTTAATTAAGAAAATTGTTATTATTTTGTGATTTAAATTCACTTAAAATTAAAGATTTAAACCATAGTTAATATTTATTATGGTATAAACCATAACTTACCTTTTCTAACTTTACTAGAATATATTTTGTGTCAGTAAATGGTCCAATTTCTTCAAAATATTGTCCATAAATCACAGTCATTGCTTGTAGACATAAGCATTTCATTTCTATTTTTAAAGCTAATAAAAATCTATGGTAAAGATCATTGAAAAATCTGAATCTAAAAAAATTATTTATTATTAAAACACAGTTAATATGCTTAGATATATAAAATTTCTTACGGATTTTTTACTGCAAAATCTATATTTCCATCTAAAAGTAATCTCAAATAGTAACCATCTACACAAACTTCATCTTGTAAACTAGGATATATCACCTCAAATTCATCATGATTCCAAGCTATTAAACTATTTGTAGTAAGTTGTCGATCAGAATTAAATGCTTGGATTTCTTTTTTTAGAGCATCATGAAGTTCTTCCCGAGTCTATTAAAAAAATAATTTAACAAAAATAATTATAATTGAAATAATTATGTTTACAGACTATTTCTAAATGTTTATCTGATTTATCAATACATCAATATGTTTTAGTTTTTTCAATTGGTTAGAAAATAGCATAATTTATTATACATCACAACTATGAAATATATTACATATTCAAATGCATCAGTATTTTAAACTATATTATGTTTCACACCAATCAAAAGTATTTTATAAAACTTTGAATTAGTGATGGGTCGAACCCTGATCGAACCGAACTTGAACCGAACTTTAAATTATTTTTTCGAACTCGAACTTAACCGAATCTTCATATCTTCTACCGAACCGAATCGAACCGAACCGAACGTATTATGATTTTAAATCGAACTCGGACTCGAACTCAATACTTTTTATCATGTACATTGTACCTACCTACAAATTAAATCAACCATAATTATTAATTACTAATATATTTTAAGTTTTCATATTACCTATTCTAAATTTTAACTTTTAAGTCTAATTAATTGTACTATTTACAATACATTTAAATTTTAGATAATTTCTTATTATTATTATTATTTTTCAAAACCAGTATTGTGCTCTCTCGTGTTGTTTTGTAGCTTATAAAATATTATTTGAGTATTGAGTATAATATGACAATACAATCAGTACATTTTAATAATATATATAAAAAAAATAAATAATAATAACTATAATTCAAAAATATAAAATTATTAGTAGAATTTATAATATAAGACGTATGTTGTAAACATGTTTTTATTAACAGCGCAGTCGCGGTGCGGAATATTACCATGGATTTACCCAAAATAACCTTTGCAATAAATATGATAAAAACAAAAATAGCTATATTATGAATATAGATACACTGTCTCTATTGGCGATAAACCTCTTATTAATGTTTTGGTCGGCAGAGGGTAGATGTGTAACAGGCGACTGGAAAAATAACATTATTATTATAAATAATGCATAACGTGCCCGCTACAGATGATAATCTGTATTCTATATTCTATCGCCAATAGTCTAATAATTTCTAAATAATCACTATCAATTTTTATTTTTCAAATATAACTTATGAAGAATTGTACAAATATTTGGTTTTCGAACTATCGTGGCCTAGTAAGCCTGGTTCGACAAATATTTTCAAGTTCGATTTTCGAACAGTAAAAGATGCTTGATAGTTCGGTTCGATTTTTTTCATGCCTAATTCGAATTTTCAACCGAACCGAACATCAAGGGTTTGGTTCGGTTCGGTTCGAGATTCAAACAGTTCGACCCATCACTACTTAGAATTATAAATTTAAAAATTACCTGGTGATTCCATAATAAACTGGGAGAAGTATGGTTTTTATTGAACTTATAATAAAATAATTTCCAATTAGCATAACTTTTAATTCTTTCTCTACGCCTCCTTAGTACAATTGGGCGGGCTTGTAATTTATCTTCTTTTCTTTCTAATCCCAATGATGCTCCCCAATGACCCAATGCAATTTCAACTTCTTTCTCCAATGTGCGAAACTTTCTTTCTAAGGCTGCCAAATGAGGATTTCGTTGATTTTTAGCTGCATGATCTTGAGCAAGTTTCAAATTATCTCTAGTGATTAAATGATCTTCATTTTCAATGATTTCTACAGATTCATTTGATTCCAAAAACCCTAATAAACCTGATGGCTGAATGAAAATAAGAAAATTATAAATACATATGGACTTTTATGTTTTGAGTATTATAATAATTTTACCATCAGTCGTGCTAATAAATCCATGGCAATAGCATTATTAGTGACCCATAATCCAACTAAGTGCCTTGAAAGTTGTCTGTGTACAAGCATACGTCTATTATCATCGCGAGTAAATAATGCTGTCAATAAATGGCTAGGTAAAGCTGCCTCTGCCAATGCTAGTTCTTGCATTCGTCCAGATATTTCAGCATCACCTTCTTCAATAATTGCTCTCATAACTAATCCAGCACCTTTTACTACAGTCAATGATGGATGCTATAAAAACAAATAAAATAATTTGATTCACTTATTAATATTGCTGTAATTATAATTAATTTTTACTGTAAATAATATTTTTCTAAATAATAACATAAATAATTAGATAGTAAAAATAATAAAATATATTTTTATTGATAATATTCTAGTGTTTAGTAGTTTACTTTAAAAAACTTTAAATGTTTTGATTTAATATTCTACTCTTCCAATGTTTTTCTCATTAAAACTTTATCACATACCATTGTAAATAACTATGTACATTTACTGTGATTTCAAAAAACATAATATAGAAATTCAAAATAATTACCTGAAAAAGCTGAAATAAATATCTTCCCCGCTTTGCCACCAATGACAATAGTGTATCAAAATGTGTTCCATCAGTTGTTTCACTATAAGGAACACAAAGCGCAAAAGTAAGTATATCTAACATTGCAGATACCACTAACGCTCCTGTTCCACGTTTCTAAATAAAAATAGTTATATCAAAATTAAGTACAGTTAAATTTAGATTTAAAATGTTATATTGGAAAGAAACTTACAATATGCTCAACCCACATATCAAGCAATGATTCTAAAAAACTAGGGGTAGCCAAAAGAGATGATTTATTGAGCTGTTCTTGTCTTATATCACTATCACGATGCATTGGCTGCATAAGAGTACAAATCATATCTAAAGCGGCATGGGTTATAGCTTCATGGTCTCGTTTTAATGCTCTAGTTACTTTTCTTCCAAGTTTGTCTTTAAGTCTAAAAATGTAATATTAAAAATAATTTAATGAATAAATTAGAATATATCTTACAGTAATTTCCTCTAGAGGAATTATTATAAATAAAAATTATTCACACTTTTTCACAGTATCAAATATATTATATTATGATTTTAATATTTTCCTATGTATGTTAACTGTCAAAATGAAATGTTCAGTATATAAAATGCAAAAAAAAAAAATTTATCAACACACTAATTAAATATTATTTATACATATAAACAATGAAAATTTAATAATTAAATATGATTGGTGTAAAAACTAATATGTATTTTATGCGAAATTTAGTAATTTTTATTCCATTTACAAATCTAATCAAAAAATTACAGTTAACAATGCAATATAAAAAATAATGTACCTATTCTCCAGACAGCTTGGAGATGATTTATGTAAATCAAAGATATTTAACAGTATGAATACTAATTCCAGGACTTCATTTCTAATAGTAAGAGTTCAGAAATTATATATACATATAAATATTATATAATATATACATTGTACATTAATGAAATAGAATTATGTTTGTCAATTTATTGAAACTATAAAAATACATACAATTTGTATAAGTGATATAATTTAAAACGCAACAAATTACATACTCTGGTAACATTATAAAAGTAGAAAATCCTGCTTTAGTAGCAAATAATCTTCTTAAAGCATGAAACTGTGCCTCTAGTTCTTGAACAGCAATCTCATTTTGATCACCTTGATGAGCAATAATTGATGTCAGTGCCATAACTATTAGTTTCTCCTTATTTTCAGTAAATAATTTCTATGAATAATAATAAAAAATTGTATTATTTGTCTTCAAAATTATAACCTAACATTAGTTTAATATTATTTAACTCTATGACAAGTACAATAATATTGCTAGTCAAGATGCTAAATTATAATAAACTGAAGTTAATATGTATGTAATCTGTTATACCAACTACATAAACTTACAACTAAAATTTATATGAATTAAGGTATTCAGTAAAACTAGACTAAATAATATATAGTAAATACTTAACAATAATGACATATTTAAGGGAAACTTTAGGGATTAAGCTCTTTTTTTTCTTCAATGATAATATAAAATAATTTCCAAAATATTTTGTTACAAAGGAAATTGCTCTCCTACTGAATAATAACATTATTCACCAATCGTCATTGATTGAATTAAAAGATTTTTAAACAAATACACATTTAGATTTATTCCCTGAAGTTAACAACCAATTATTGCATATAACTATTAAATAGACATACCAAAAGAATACCATGCATGAGGCATTTAGTTAATAATTATTGCATTGGTACTACTACTTTCATGAGTGTAAGCAAGGTTTATTATGATTTTTATAATTCTCAATGAATAAAACATACTTTTTAATGTTCTAAATAAAAAAAATTTGTAAATATAAAATGATAGAATAATACAAATATGTCATATTCTTACTAAGATGTTACTACTTTATTTAGAAATTTGTGCTATAATATTCAGATTTAATAAGAACAAAATTTTTATTTCTGGTAGTATTTCAAATCCAGGTTTAGTATAGGATTTAAAAAATATATTTTAAATGTTATTTATAACTTACATCTTCAGAAACAGAATGTATTAGTCCACTATATTCAATATTAGCATTAAACCTATCTAAAACTTCTGCAAATGTCTTTCGAGGAGGCGGTTCTTTTATACACTTTAAATGGTTGGATTCGATCTATAAAATAAAATATATTTACACTGTAAAATATTACAAGATAACCAAATGAGATATTTTACTTCTTGGTCTGGTGATACATTGAAAGGTATAAGTCTTTTATCTCGAGGAGTTGCAGATAGTTTTACGTGCACATGATGATTTCCAGATGACCTAACACTATCTAATAGAGTAGCTAGGAGGGAATCTCTGTAAATGAAATACATGTTTTAATAATACATAATTAATTTAAAAGTTATTTAACCAATCACCTATTAGTAGCTGTATAGGAACGACATGATGAATCTGCATATTCAATACAAAACTGTTGTGCATCAACTGAATCTCTTATTAATGCGAACACAGATGACAATGGTCTTAACGTAACTACTGTATATGTTTGAGGATCTCTCTCCAGTAAACATACTTCACTCAAACAAAGTAATCTTCGCTGTGGGCATTCTTGATGTCTAGGAACACCAATTTTTTTAACTTGAAACTCACAAACAGAAGTAACATGTTCATCTGAACTATAACGTCCTAATCTTTTAGTTAAGAAATCGTCATGTGTTATATTATGTCGAAAAAATTCTATAGGTATTTGTAAATATATCATAGCTCTTTCTTTGACTCTAAGGAAAATTTCATCTCGATTTGAACTGATAAATAAATGCTACAAAAATTATAAACAATTAAATAACAATTATGAATACCGAATATAGGTATTTTTACCATTCTTCCATAAGGCCTTGATATAATAACAAAACCACCAGGAATATCTTCAACATTTTGTATGGCTTCTATATCTTTGTAACGATAGCTAGCAAGAACTTGAGCAGTGGCAGTGTCTAATTGATCAATTGAAATAAGAGTGACTTTTATGGTTACTGGGAGTCGAGTATCTGACCAATGATATTTTAGAGCTTCATAATTCTAAAATAATGTAATGAAGTTTAAAAATATTAATGTTTTACACCCTAATATAAATTCTAATTCTAATTAAGGCATACATATATTTCTTCTTGACCACGTTCAGCAAATTGGTATCTGAACATGAGAGCATCAGTTAATAAATTTGAACGAAAATCGGTTGAAAATTTAAATCTGTCAACCTTATTTTTATCTTTAACTGATAACATAAAACCACCTGCATTTTGAGGATCTACTTGTATATTTATTATTTGATTATATGAATACCGATTAGTTACTTCTAAACTATTTGGGTTGTATGTTGTGATACCATGAGTACCAACACCAAATATTCTTTTATATCTGAAAAAGATAAACCATTTTAAGTGGAATTAAAAAAGAAAATATATCAGAATATTATTATTATTACATACTTGCCCCTCCAAGAGTGTTTTGTTACATAGTAACACACAACATCTGTGTTATTTGGAATGGGTATCATATTATCATCTAAAACAGACAACACCATTGTAATAAACAGAAAACAATTATCTAGTTTATATAAATATAGGGTGATCAATTTGTACAAGTCATTAATATTTTTTAGAAAAAAATAAATTTTTACATTTTGTATTTCTAATTACTAAGTTATAGAATACTTTAAATATTTTTATGATCTTAAGCTTTTTTTACTTATACAAATTACATTAAAATTAAATTCTTAATTGTTACATTCTGTATTAAAATAAATTCTCAGCATGTAACCTAAGCTTTTTAATGTTTTTTTTTTTTTTTTTAATACATTAAAATTTAATTTAACAATAAACAGATACTTTAAATTTAGTAATTAAAGGTGTACTTATTCAAAAATTATATTTATAAATTACATCCTATTATGTTTACACTTTTGATTACAGGAAATTAGATGTTAAATAATACATAATGTATTTAAAACAATTAAGTCATGTTAGTTTTACTACAAAAAAAATTTAATATTTATAATTCATTTATTTAACTATTTAATAGGGTAACTATACTAACTGCATTATGAAACAATCATCATTTAATACCTAATTATTAATGTTTTGATTAGTAAATCTACATTTTAGAGATTTATGTATGCCAGAGAAATATTTTCAACAACAATTATATTTCAATTTGTTGTGATTTAATAATATTTTTAAATTATATTTATCTAAGATTGACATTCAATATTATTAATTTAAATAAAATATTAAATTTATAACTCTCAAAAAATACTTTATTAAATGTCTAATCAATAAATTAATAAATAATTTTAGCTATGGAAGGTTTAAAAAAATAATGTTTACTTATTTGAAATTGTCCAATGCCTAGATAACATTGCTATTACTCATGATATGATTAATTAAAATAACATACAAACAATTATTTGGTACATTACTATCAGAAATTATAACATGATAGAAAAATGATTAAAGGCAGCGGAAAATCAAACAGATTATAAAATATTGGCAATCTGACATGATCAAACGAAGCTATTTTTCAGATATAAACAATTACATTTACAAAAGTATACATTTAACAAAAATGAACAAAATGTCATACTTCCTGGCATTGAAATGTGTTCGTGAGTGCAATTCTTCAAATCATGGCATATTAAAATGCAAACAGCTACAATATAATCGTAATCTTTAGAATTCAGAATTAAATTAGATTGCTCAGAACAATATTCACGTCTAACAGCACACTACGGTAAGTTGTCCACCACTCGGTACGGCGTTCATCGTCTCGTCCGAACACTTCATCAAGATAAACTTTTGTATGACTGTCGACAATTGATAATAACATTTCAATGCTTACCAAACCCGTTATCAGTGATGGCAGAGTAAACACACAAAACACACACGCACACACGCACGGCAAGGAGGCCGCAAACTCTATATACACGACTGTGCTGCAAACGGCGCAAAAACTGAAACACGACCGGCTCGTCCACGCGGCATTAATAATAATAATCGACCATACAGTGCCGTTTAAATTTTCCAATGAACATTCCTTCCGACACCACGAATACGATTATTTAAATGGAGACAAACGTGAATTGCGCCCAACAAATATATTAATTTTAACGATAGCCGTTCAGCAATCCGCCGAGGACACCACGAGAAGGCGGCTGGCTATCGCTGTCCTCTAAAATATACTTCAACTGAGTTATTTATCACGATTTTACATTCGAATTAACAAGACGTTACAATACATTGAATGTGACGAGTGTTATTTCTTGGGGAATCAAAAACAATTCGAGTTGTCAAGTTGTTGAGGTTTAAGTTACACGATTCGACTGTGTTATGTTTCACAAAATATTTGTCCCACTGCATTTTTGTTCCACACAATACTTCTGAATGTGGAACAAAGTGCAATGATTCGCAATTTATTAGACCCATTTTAGAATCCAAAAAATATCGGGCGAAATTTACTGTACTAGTTCTACTACCTGCTCAATGTGGTCGCAATTTATGATTGCGCATTTGAATTATGAGCAACGTTTAGGGACGCCCGTGGAAAATTAGATCAGTGGGTATAAAATTAAATTTGTGTTATACATATTTACATTATTATATTCACATAATAATCATACTCGTCAGTGGCGTATCCAGAATTTTTTTTTGGGGGGGGGGTTATAAAAAATGGAACATTAAATTTTTTTTTGAATTTGTGTGTTTTTATTTATAACAATAAAAACAAACCCACCCCGATGCAGGTGGGGGGGGGGGGGGTTATAACCCCCTAACCCCCCCTGGATACGCCACTGATACTCGTAACTTCAAAAGTAGGTAATGCAAAGAAAAAATGCTGTTGTAAACTTTGGGCAACGAGAAAAGTACCAAAAAACAAAACAACGATACTAATGCTAGACGTAATCCGTTGATTATAAATACTATAGGGTACCTAATAGATATTTATAATGTTCAATGGTATTACTATAAATTATTATAATTACTATCGTAAACAAATTATCAATTTTACTGTACGAATTATGAATCAAATAACAGTGATAAACGCGTGACATTTAGTCAAATATAATTTATAACATGGGTTTTTTGTTTTTCAGAAAATGTTGAATCTCCACATTTATCTATGTGTATGTCAAACGGTTTAACCTCGTATTACGCTGTGTCCTACGTAAACGCGGTGAACGCGATAAGCGCGGTGCGATGAGGCAAATAAAATTATCGAACATATAAACGTTTATTAGATCGTCCATTGTACGCGATAAATCGCCGGTGCAAACGAAATTCGTCCGTTCACGTTCGCCACACGGTTTGAGAATCAAATCGTTTTGGTTTTGGTCGCGAATGGACTTATTAGACGCGTGTGGGATAGTGGGATGGAATCCACTAAAAACAACTTTATCCTTATATACCAGTGGTGCCCAATCCGTGGCCCGTGAAGGTATTCAATGTGGCTCGTAACAAATTTTTTTTTAAAATAAAACAAAAAGTAAAATTATTAAAAATATGTTTTTTTTTTTGTTAATTCATTAATTTTGTTTTCCATCATTTTCAAATAGACATGTCACAATATAACCCGTGCACTTAAAAGAGCGTACCAATCAAATTAATTAACTAATTAATTAATTAATTATCAAATATATTAAGTACCTAGTCAATACAAATGCAATAAGTACCTATACATGTATATTGTATACCTACCTACTATGTGTAACAAAATAATATTATTAGACTAATATTGATATTATTCGTACTTTTATATTCGGTAACCCGTTCTAAGATAATTGTTTAGCAAAGTGGCCTACCGAGGAAAAAAGGTTGGACATCACTGTCACATACAATGCTGGATCTAGGAAATTTGACGCACGGGACTAATAAAAATGTAGCACCCTTATGAAAGGATGCTGCATTTTTGGCAGTTTGAGTTATGATTAGGGTTCGGGACTTGTCGCATTTGCATATTTCTTAATAATGATTGTAGAATAGTCTAAATAAGATATACATTTGTTTAAAGTTATAACGGATTGAAATACAAACATTTGAATTACATATTTTCGCATATTTCGCCGTTTCTGAGCGAAACGTACATTTGACCAATTTTAGCAATTTAATTGTTCTTTACAGCATATTCACGCATTTTTCGTTTGATGTTAAGTAGATTTATTTTAAAGGTTAACATTATTTTTTTTTTTTATTTTCATGCATCGGTCAATATACCTAATCATAGAATGAGTCAGGATAGGGCAACAAAGAAAATACCTACTTGTTCCTGCGTATTCTATTGGTTACCGTATATCGTTTAGAGAATGTAAAAGGAAAAATAAGTATTCAGTTTGTATTTTTCATTGTAGGAGGAAATGAAAAAAATGAAATTGAACATACACAGTAATATAATGTTTATAGTGTTATTGTTGAAAACAAATACTAATTAAAAAAAATTGTCTACTTTTAAATGAATAAATCAAATTTTTTAATTGTCATAAAAAAAATATTCAGTTGCATGTTTTTGCACATATTTCGATTATTTTAAGTGTATATTTCCTACAATTTTTGTACATTAAGTCCCGAACACTAGTTATGATTATTACTATTTATATTTTCGTTAATTTAAGAGTGCCCTTATACCAACAGCATCAAAGGCAAACATACCCACTTGTCTCCCCAAGATCCGGCACTTCTTATATATAATTTAATTTACAGCTGATCTCTTTTTATAAAATATTTTAATAATAAATATTTTACCGCAGTACCTTCAAATATTAATAAGTAATTGTTTTTATAAACTCAATGAAATTTTTATTTGACTTTGTTTCAGCAAAAATTAAGTAAGAAAATTTATAAAAGAGCTGAACATAAACGTGTAAAATATACCGCAAAATAAAATAAATATAATTAAAATACCTTCCGCAAAATATACTTCATAACAATCTGTACGTCAGCAAACAAACAAAATCAGAGTATGGCCGCAAATTCGCTTTTGACGCGTTCACGTAGTTCATATATCTCGTACATACAGTCAGTGCCGTATTTAGACATTTTGTGCCCTAGCGCAAAATAAAATTGGTACCCTTCTAAGGGGCCTGTCCACGGAAAATATAGGAAATAGAAGCTCATAAACCTTTTAGATATTCTAAAATCAATACTATTTTTGTACTGTAGGCATTTTCACGATAGGACTCGATTAGTTGGATAACTCTGTCTTGATCCCAAGTATTTTCTAAATTGCATCTCACGATTAATTAATAAACTTTTTTTTTAATTATTAATTATTTCAATTTTTTTGTTATAATTATTATTAAAATAATACACAATTACGCATTCATCGTAGCAGCAACAATACAACACTATTTTTCGTCAAAACCAGATAAGCAAAACGCGCCGAACACCGCGCATTTCCCATATTAACCCGAATAAACGAGCAACATGCACGAACCTGCTTGTTCGTGCGCGGAGTAGGTCCACACCAAACGCATCGAACATGGTAGCAACGTTGCAAAACGTTTTGCGCATTTGATGTGGACCCGACTTACATTCTGGATCGCTGATAGCTATATTGCTATAAATACATTAATAATATATATTAATAAATTAAATACATTAACATTAATTTATGATACTGTTATTAAAAACAAAAAAAAAATAATTTTAAAAGTTCAATAATTCACAAGTGAGCAAATTTCAGACTAAACAATTTTGGGGTCCCTAAAAAACTGGCACCCGGGGCAGTTGTAGCCAGTGCCCCCCCCCCTAAATGCGGCCCTGCATACGCTATAATGTTACCCATTATAGATTTTATCCACGTTTTGATACGATGTAAAACATTGTTAACATATATACAAAATACCAATATAAGTATACAATTAAAATAATCTGGAATACAATAAATTATAATCAAAATTAAACAATTAATCTATTTAGTTTATTATTTGGCATCCCAGAAGCATATTTAGACTTACTTCTAGGGAGGGGGCTCAAATTTTATCTTTAATTCAGACTCAAAATTGACAAGAAAAATTATTCGGTAATATTTTTTTTTCGTATGGGGTGGATTAGATATCGTTGCTAGCAATAAAATACTGAGAGCCCAAAAAAAGTATAATAAAAATAATACTAAACAAACCAAAAACATATCCTACTACACAACTATACAAGGAATTTAATGTTTTCACTGTACAAAAATTATTTCAAAGAAATTCCCTCTATTTCGTATATAAAATTAATTTAATATTTAAAACCAACATACTATAATACATGGCAGGAAAATAACACAGAGATCCTTATTACCCAGTTGATTAAATCAAGCCTATGTTTTTCACAGGTAGGTCTTAAGCTACTGAATAAAGCACCATCGCATATCATAAATAGCAAATCCTAGGAACAATACTCCTACATAAAAAATATTAAAATTTGGCTAAACCATAGCCCAAGTATCTGAGTCATAGTGTTTAGTGTATATATAAAATATATGATGAGAATCTGATTAACTTTAATATATTATTATTGCCTATTAATTTATTTTACTTATTTATTTTTTTATATTTTGTCTTTTAATGTTTCCATTTTTAATTTTTAATGTTTATACTAATTTAATTACTTAGGTTTT